CAGCCTACATCAGAGGTTACCACTTTCTTCCATCCGTTACTGCACAGAGAACAGCGACGTGCGTTGAAAACGCAGCGTTGCTGACCACACGTCAACAGCGCTGGCCATCGCCTGTTGACAACGTCCGAAACGCCGCTGATTGGCTGCTTTCATAGTCGCCAGCCGGCCCGCGAGCGCGTCGGTCGGAGGACTAGTCGGCCGACGGTATCGACCAAAATTCAGTTGTAAACAAACGGTAAGTGCCGCCCCGGCCGGCGGACTATGGAAGCAGCCATTTGTTCACCGCCTGGGAAATAAAGCTCCGATGCAAAGACGTCAGGGGCGGCGCGTTGTCAACAGACATACGCCGCACGTCCAGCGTTGTCAACTGGCGATATCCAGCAAGAAACAGTTCCATTTCTTGACAAGTCTGTCGAAGTTAAAGAGACAGATGCTGCGCAGACTCTGACGCGGCGGTCGGTGTCCGGCGTTGTCAAGTCGCGGCTTGCATGGCTCTGCACTAGGCGTCCGTCGTGCGTGGCGCAGCACTGCTATTTCAAGATGGACGCGTCTAAACAGTGCAGGAGTTTGCAATTTGAATTATTCTCGCGCGCGGTCCTATAGCTCACCCCTTTACTGCCTCATTTTCTAAATCCTCTAATTCCTATATAGGAGAACTCGACACCCCTTATTCTACTTCCATTTTGGGTCTTCTATGAGCAAATCTCTCTCATTTATCAATGTCGTGGTGTAATTTTCATTCGAATATCCGCGAGCGAGAATGTACCCGGACTGAAGCCTGGCATTGCATAGCACTAAAGATGAGGCGTGCGACCAACGACGAAAAATCGAAGCACACCCGTCACTTCGCTTTTGCTGATGATGGACTCGACTCGCTTCAGTGTCAGGGGATAGACAATGTTAGATTTTGCAATATTTGAATGTTAACGCGCATTCCTTCAAAGAAAAGTCAAAAAAGGAACATCAGGCATCATAAATTGCAAGCATTTTTAGGCTCATCGACAGTGACTGCACCCAGTGGTGATTTCCCTCCACCGCCGCCTGTAAGTTTAATGGTCAAATAATTAGGAGCACAATCTATTGAATAATCTGTTACATTTTACGATTAGGAGGGCTATCNAGGCACCTGATGAAACTGACCTGGGACTTCATCATTCCGAAGACTACAATTTCACTTTTAGCTCAGTGGTTGTTTGTGCTGAACCAGTGACAAACGTCCATTCCCCTGAACTTACTCCACGGTTTTATAGCATTTACAGAGTCTCCTCTTACCTGTCAGTATTGTTTAAAAGACTGTTCGTGAAAGACAGAAAAACTGGAGATTATCACACCACACGACCCGTGATGGTTCGAGAGTACGATCGAAATATTGTGAAGGAAGGGGAGGCTTAGCATGTCAAATGAAACGATGCAGTCTTGATTATTGTGATTAACTGTGATTATCATTGTCACCGGCATTTTATAAATCAAAAACCTGCCTTCTACTTCAGCCTCCAATACCCAAACCAGTGCAGCCACCAGTAGTCAAGAAAAAGAAATCTCATCCCAAAATGTTTGTAGTAAGTTATACATTCTTTACATACATACATTCTTTGAAAGGTGAACCAATATTTTTTCTGTTCAAAGCGCTAAGTACACCTTGCTTTTGTCATGGAAATATGAAGAGAAGTCAACTAGCGTTATCAAACGACGAGTTACTACGGAGTGCTAAAGCGGGACCTCGAATCAAATGATGCAAGAAACCATTTAATTTGAGAGGCCAGCGATAGCTACTCATAAACAAGATGCGCAATGCTGTGCATGCTGTGAAACATCAAAGGCACAGTTCGTGACAATTCTAGCCACCTAGTTTTAGACGGTTAATGGGAGTTTTAGTTCAGATAGTGAACGTGGCGGAGAAAACACTAAAATTGGCGTTCAAGAAGAATAAAAGGCTTCGGAAAAGGCAAATCAGGGGTTGGACGAAATTGCGGCGACAAAAGTTTTATCGAGTGGTACTTGGACGAGCTGTTCGAGTGCGTGTGCTGTTGTGTTCAGCTAATTACAGTAAGCTGCCCGAGTGTGGTGTGAAGGTGCAAAATATACAGTCTCTATCACGCCGAGAGAACTAGTCCACCGTCGATACCACGCCCTATCTAGGCCTTGGGTGTGCACGTTGGTCAATCCGGTTTCGGGACAATTATAACGCCCTACCTGAGCCGTTTTTCGAACCGATAGCGCACGTCATGGTATCTTTGGGTTAACATCCTAGGAAGAAATATCAAAAATTGTTTCTATCGCGTACTATGACTTTGATGGATTTGAAGACACTTCTTTCGCAGTATGCTTTAGCCTGTGAACATATATAGGCAAGTGATGACCTTACAACAGATGCAAAGTGCTGAAGATTTGAATGTTGCAGAATCTATCCAAGTCCGAAATCGCAATATCGCGTTTTTTTATAATTTGGTTTATAACTAAACTTTGTTCAAGCTGGGTATACCACTGAACACAGCTCATCAGGTTCTCCAAAATGAAGAAACAAAAATGATTTCGAAGGATGCAACTGCGTCAGAAAATACATGTAGCAGAGGCCTTATGTATCTCTGTATCCTCCTTACTGTCGTATTTGGTATTAGCCTTCACACTCTCATTCTTTCACTTTCGGTGGGAACATTTTAGTATCAGGCAACATTCTGAGCCTATGATAAAAGTAGAAGTAGAAATGGAGACAGTGAGGGAAGAAAATAGCGAAGAAGAATCTCACAACAGCCCAAGGGCTGCTTGGAGACATTGAGGGAAGAAAATAGCGAAGAAGAATCTCACAACAGCTCAAGGACTGCTTTTTGTGTTTTGAAGAAGTTTTAATGTTTTTTGAAAGTGTTGTTGAACCTACGGAAATATTATTTATCTGAGCCGACAGTTCTTCAGTTCGAGCCTGCTGCCAGTTTCTTGAATAGCGAAGGAAAGAAAGGGACATCACAAGAAGATGAAACTATACGGGATGCTCCTTCGCTCATGGTGAGTCGCGTCTGACGATCAAGAGAGTCTGAACATTGACCAGTCGGATAGTCCAGCTTATGCTAAGCTCCCTTTACTCGAGCGCCAATGTCGGAACGCTCGGCTGAGTCGCGTTTCCTCTTTAGAACAAATCGTACATTTCTAACCAAGTTTTCGGATAGAATCGCCTAAATTCAGACAGGCACCACAAATTTGGCTTGAGTGTTAAAAGAGAAGAATTTGGCATAAAGAGGGCAATGCAACTGATATTCGCATTCACTAGGTGACGGCAATGGTGATGCTTACGCTTATGACTCAAAGGTCTTGATCACTGGCTCCTGATTTCAAGAATAATCATCTTTCGTGAAATGATTACACCCTCAGCGAAGCCTATTGACGCAGCGACTTCCGCATAACTGGTCAATGGCTGCTTTCATAGTCCGCGATTTGGTCTGCGAGCGCGCGAGCGATCGAGCGGACGAGCGACCAAGGGCGGCGCTTTTCCATTGCTTACAGCTGAATCTTGGTCAATAACGCCGATCGAGTAGTCCCCCCGGTCGCTCGCTCGTTCGCGAGCCAAATCGCGGACTACAAAAGCACAGACTGAACGATCGAGGTCCTGAATGGCCTTCGCTCACGTTGTCGGTGATGAAAACACCACCAAATCTTGCTAAGCTCCACGAGAGATGGAACACTGATCGGATTCCTAGATTACTGTGACGAGAAGTGTAATCTAATAGCGAAGATTAGACCAAACTCCGCTGCTTCTGCATGGTACTGACCTAGATCGGTCCTAACTAATGTACTATTCACACTTTGTCGACCTATACTACCACCACGCTCATCGTACGACCACATTAAGAAGTGAACTCTACATCACAAATACGACAAGGGTTAACGAGTAACTCATCCACCTGTGATCTCTCCATACCCGCGACATTACTTTCCAAACTGTGAGGGCTCCTTACATTAGTCTAAAGACATTAAAGACGCAGCAGTTCCGGCGTTTGGAGCCCCCCTCCCCCAACCCTCCCCAGTTATAATCAGCTCCTGTCACCACCTTCTACGACCCCATCCTAATGTGCCATGGCTTCACTGCTGATGCTAGCATCGTAACGAATCCGGGAGGATTCGCCTTTTAGAGCTTCTTATAAGCCCTTGACCGTCATAATATCGTCATCACTTCTTTGAACCGTTTATCGGTCGGGATCCCTCCATAACCTACGTACCACACACTCCCACCGTTGTAATTTCGGCCTTTACCAATCTTATCAGTTGTAATCTCTTCGACTTTCGACTACTATTAGTTATTATCAGATTACTTATGACCCCTTCAACTAACGTTACACAGGCGTAGGAAAGAAATTAGTGGACTGCATTACAATCAGACGGACAGACACATAGAAGCGGTTTGTCAATGACTTGGCAGCGTATTCTTTGCCCAAAAGAGTTCATAAGATCCATGCAATGTACGAGTAATGATCGGAGATATGCAGTTTTCAATGATTTGACGCCTCCACCTCCCGTCATATACGTTCTGAAGACTTGTTTCATTGCAGCTTGTAAGAAAATCTCTGCTCTCTGATGAAATATCCTTTGAAAAGCCGGTGGACATCCATCAACAACAAAAAGAAGTGCCAACGAA